TATATCATATATTCTCGAGGAGGAAAGAGAAGCGGAATGGGAAAGAATATTGTGGGAGGGTAACGCGGAAATCTCCCCGGAATTACGAATTTTTCCCGATTCCCCCATATGGGGTTCTAGTCAGGAATTATCGTATTTAAATTTAACGCCGGAAGAGTAAATTCGAACGTAAGTTATAAGATGGCTTAAAATATTAAATATTTTTTACAGAGCTCGCGTTTCTAATTATTTTGCATTATTCTTTTACAGTACAACAAGGAGGCACACGCGGACGCGTTCTTTCCTCCTCCGAAACGGAACCGGCGAGAGAGGAGCTTATGGAGGAAGAGCAAGAAAAAGAAGAAGAAGAAGTTCCTCACGAGCGCGGTGTTAAGTTAAATTATATTGAAATACGAGAGGAAAACGCGCGGCGGTTTAGAAATTTCCATATATTAGGACGAGAGACTAGTATAAAGATTCTCCCACCAGTCGAAGGCACCGACATCGCTAAACATTTAGAAAACGCGTTCCGCGAAATCTATTCTTACGCTGTTAATTCCGCTAACGCGAACGATTACGTGAGGCTGTCTTTCGCCTCGACGGCTTTAACACGCGGTCCGGCCGGCTTATTGTTTCACCCGGTGCGAGACTTGATTCACGAGGATATCTGGGGTCTCGTAAGCTCGGTAGTGCAGAGCGCCGGGGGTCACGATATCGCGGAACGCTTTTTAATAACTGTGTACAATGTCGGGATGCCTTCGAGCCGAGGGGAAAAATCGAATAAATGAACGCGCGAAGATGTGGTAAAACACTCGATCTTAAATATAAATAATCGGGATAATATGTGTCTCCCGCGCTCTCTCGTCGTGGCTCGTGTTTATTGCGAACGCGGCACAGTACGCACGGGCGAACTTCATAGAAAATGGGAAAACATAAGGCACCCATATTCCGCGTTGCAGAGACGTTTGGCGGAAGAACTAACGAGAAACGCCGGTATAGTTATACCCGAGGAAGGATGCGGCATCCCGGAGATCGAGCGTTTTCAGCAGCTTCTCTCGCTAGAAAATATCGCGATTGTCGTTTATAATTTCAAGAGTTTCGGTCGCGGAGTCCC